TACCTACGCATATCATAATATAAGCATAAAATCGTAAACATTAAATAATTACAAGAAAGAATACATACCAGCCACGACATCGGGTGCTGTGCGGACCTCCTCCGCGGTCAACTGGAAGGCTCTCCCTCGTGCCTTCGGTGCCTCGGCCTTCACTGGCCGACTCTCGGTAGCTCTGATGGCGGCAGGGGCAGATCCCTGAGGTGCTCCCTGCAACTGCGGACACTCTGCCTTCTAGTGTCTGGTCTTGTTGCAGTGGAAACACACTGTAAACCCCTTGGGGAAGTCCTTGGCCATATACCCCTCCTTGCCACACTTGTAGCAAGATCCAACTCTACAAACTCCATCATGACCCTTACTGCACTTCCCACAAGTGTGGACCTTCTGGCTCCTTGCTTTGGGATCAACGAGCTAGGCCCGCTTGGCTGCCGGCTGAGACTGTGCCGCTCACTGATCCCTCCCCTGAGACTCCGCCTCCTCCCTCGCCTGAGTCTCTAGCTCGATCTCCCTCTTCTGAGCATTTGCTTGAAGCTCGGCAAATGTCCGGTACGTGGATTTCGCCACGAACTCCCGAATATCTCTCCTCTAAATACTCAAATAACGGCTCATACGTGCCTGCTCAGATGACACGTGCTCAGGGCAGAACATCGCCCTCTCATGAAACATCCTGGTGATAACCGTAACGGACTCTGTACCCTGCTTGAGGGTCAAAAACTCCTGTGCCAACCGATCCCGTTCCACCGGAGGAACGTACTCATCATGAAACATGGTGGTGAACCTCTCCTAGGTCACCGCAGCAAGCTTTGCTGGAGAATAGTGAGCTGTCGTGAACTTCCACCAGTCCTTCGCCCCCAGGCGAAGCTGGTTCAGCGCAAATCGAACCCTGAAGTGCTCCGGGCACGAGCATGTGTAGAAACAACCCTCAATGTCATACACCCATCTCATCGCTGCGATCGGATCCTGTGTCCCATCAAACTCTGGTGGTTTCGTGTTGCTGAACTCTCGGAACAGCAACGCATCACCACCCTACGGCCTCGCAGCAGCAATAGCTGCGGTGGCCGCTGCAACAGCAGCCTCAGAAAGAGCAGCATAAAGCTCATCAAAAGTCTCAATCAACATGGTCTTAATAGACCCGAACATCTCTGGTATCTCTGCCCTGATGGTCGCAGCCACCTCCTCATGGATGATCCGGTGGATCTCCTCATCACTAGCCTCGCTACTCCTTGGCATAAGATGTGTCCTCACCATGATCTACCTTTGAAATACAACATATGATATATTAGAAATTCACTCGAGTATACTCGCACTTGATAACTCATCCCTCCTTGATCCCTGGCATCCCAAAGATTCTTACTTGGACTGTATACCGACCCGGTGTTTTCAGTAGTACGGGCCCATACTACTATCCGCATCGTATCAGTATACACCCCAAGTCCTCCTCTTCGGATCCCAAATCCCAAGTTGTAACAACGCAAATTTTCAAATAAAATTTTCATTTGAAATAAAGTGAGTGCATTCAACCAATAGTATTTATTTCATGTTTCAAAACAAATACATATGTAAAATTCCCAAGATCTCAAATAGCAGCAGTGTGTATGCATCATGCCGGCGCCTTCCCACGGTCCTCGCTAGTACCTGAAACACATATATAACAACTTGTAAGCATAAATGCTTAGTGAGTTCCCCAGTATACCACTTACACATATACGCCTTTCCAGGCCCGGACCTTCCGGTCCACAGTACCATGCCTTCCGGCCCATATGATAATCGCCTTCCGGCCCATAATATAATTGCCTTCCGGCCCATAAAATAATTGCCTTCCGGCCCATAAGATAATTGCCTTCCGGCCCATAAACATACATAACACATAATACATTTACTCTAACACATATGTCACATACATCATAGATCATACCTGACTTTCCTGCCACAAAATACATTGCCTTCCGGCCCATAGAACATACATAGCATGCATAGCAACTATTCCTTTCAATTATAGCACATATATAACACGTAACATATTCGACCTTCCGGTCACACAGTCAAACCCTTTCGGGTACAGTATAGTGAGAAGACTCACCTCGTGGTAATGTAAGCTATCAACTCTTAAAACTACTCGCACTCGATCCGCCGATCTGCAGTCTCCCTATAATACCATATACCCTTAGCAATACTCTTATCATTCAAGACAACTGACCCTAAGAATTTACATGCAGGTCAACTCTGGTCAACGGTCAACTTGACCGGACTCGTCGAGTGCAAAGGCGACTCGGCGAGTCTAGACGTCCTCCCCAAATTTCCCTGTTGTTCCCCTTCTACTCGTCGAGTATCCATCTTGACTCGACGAGGTCCTCGTGGAAGAATCGCGGGGCCACCACGACTCCACTCGCCGAGTCTGAAGAACAACTCGGCGAGTCCCAGTGAATCTTCAAGCTACTCGCCGAGTCTGCTCATCCGACTCGGCGAGTTCATGCCATGCAGTCGATCAACTGCTTCCTGAAACACGTATGGTCCCGAAATACATACTCATGGGACTATCTGGACCTCTAAACATCCTATTACTGGGGTATAAACACTTGGGTAACAACATAATAATCCCTCTAATCATCAAATGGGTTCTATAAACCCTAACTTCATATACACATCAATCACAGAAGAACGAAATCCGAGATATTACCTGATTGATGCACTTTCTGTGTTCCCAATCCTCAGAACGTGATTCTCTTGCTGTTCCTTTAGCTAAACCTTCCTCTTCCTTGCACACAAATTTTCCAAACCCAACAATGGTCTTCAATCCTTGTTCCAGATGCACACAATCGTTCTAGGGTTCTTCTCAGTAAGCAAAAACAAACAATGACGGCCTAAGAGGCGTTATAAACGATCCAAAACCAAACGGCTAGGGTTTCTGCTGAACAGCGTCGACTCACCGAGTCCCTAATGGACTCGTCGAGTCCAGTCGCGAATCTGCGACCAAGTCTGTGGTCCTACTCGGCGAGTCAGGAGCCAACTCGCCGAGTCCCTTCCTAAAATGTCCCCAAAAATAGTTTTAAAACAATACCTGAAATTCCGGGCTGTTACACAAGTACTCTACTATGCATAATCCACTCTCTAACAGATCTCTCATAAGCTCCTCGCTGCTACCTATTCACTTTCAAGCATCTCATAGCAGCTCACCTCTCCCTAGGCTAAGGCATCACAAATCAGGGCACTCTAGTCCTAATAGGAATACCTAGCCCACTCTACCAAGAGAATACATCATATTAATCTCATAAACATATAACATAAGGGTATTTTAGGAAATCACCGTTCGGGCGCTGACTGATCGTACACACGTTTCTGCTCTGTGTTTCTCTAAAAATCTTTTACTCCTTTTAGAAAATTTGGTTCTCTTTTGAAATTATTTTCCAAATCCTCAGTTTGAGTTCAAATACTCCAGAAGGTGTACCCGAATCCCACAAACCAAGGCTCTGATACCAACTTGTAACACCGTAAATTTCCAAAACAATTTTTCGCATTTATAAAAACATAATTCATTTGTAAATCATAAAAACATCATTTTTTGAAACTCAAAGTATAACATATAACAATATCCCAAGATCTCGTATCATAAAAATCACGTGTGTGTACTGATCAAGCCGGTGCCTTCCCGCGATCCTTACTAGTACCTGAAACACATAACACAAAACACTGTAAGCACAAAGCTTAGTGAGTTCCCCAAAATACCACATATAACACATATTAGCCACTCGAGGCTATAACTCTGTGGGTCTGTGCACCCAAACTCTGTGAACCCTCAGGTTCTAACTCTGCAAGCATGCACAACATAAATCACATAGAAGAATGCAGTACAACAAACAATATATATAAAGCACTATATCACATAACTCTATTTACCTACTCAAGGTAAAGTATAGTCACCTTGTATATCTCGGTAACTCGTAAATCCCTGAAATCACTAGTGCTCGATCTCCTGAGCTATAGTCCTCCTATAACACAATACATCTCTAATTAACACTTCCTAATTAAGGTTGACTAACTCTATCAAGTCAACACCGGTCAACTCTGGTCAATGGTCAATGGTCAACCCCGACACGCCGAGTCTGGCGTAGACTCGCCGAGTCCCTACGAGGACCCCATTTCCTCTGAGTCCCTTCCGACTCACCGAGTCACTCACCCAACTCGGTTACTCAACCCCTGGTTCGAAATCTATGAACAACCCGCACCAACTCGTCGAGTCTGCCAATGGACTCGGCGAGTGCATTCCATGCACAACCCCAAACGACCTTCTGAGGTCAGATCTGTTCCACTAACTCATAGATCCAGTCCTTCCAAGCTTATTTATCACGTAAAGTTCATGTCTTAGCGCTCATATCACACCTAATGACTCATAAATGGTGTTTTGACCTCAAACACAAAGATCCCAAACCAAAACCTCCATGGATTCATAAAAAGCTTGGACAAAGGGACACTCTGGACCTCCAAGGGTCCAGATCCAGAACCTAACTCGCTTAAGGGACCAAATGGGCACTAGATCTAGCCACAAGAGGGCTCAATAAACCCTAAATCAACATGAACGTCACCTTAACAGAAAAGGGTTCGAAAATGGTACCTCAAATGTGATGTTCTGGACCTCAAATCTTCAGGAAATTGTTCCTCTTGCTTCCTCTTGGCTAAAACTTCCTTTCCCTTGCTAGACAATACCTCCAAGGTTGATAATGGCTCCTTCTCTCACTCCAAACGCTCAAGTGCACTAGGGTTTCGCTCTGGGGGCTGGTGAGCACAAATGATGGCCATAAGGCCCTTTAAATAGGCCCCAAACCCGAGAAATTAGGGTTTCATTAAACAGCGTTGACTCGCCGAGTCCACCATTGCGACTCGTCGAGTCCGGTCATTAATCCGGATGAGAAATCGCGTCTCTACTCGGCGAGTCTACGCACCAACTCGCCGAGTTCTTCCTCAAAACTCAAAATAAAAAGAATAAATATAATACCTGAAATTTCCAGATGTTACAGCAGGCGCCCCGTGCGTGGTACAATCATCTGACCAAAGCCCTACAAGCTCTTGGCTTCAATGGATCAGTCACCGATCCTTCTCTCTTTGTTTATTCGTCTAATGGTACTATTCTTTATATGTTGGTGTACGTTGACGACATAGTTCTCACTGGTAACAACTCCAAAGCCATTGATCGTGTCATCAAAAGTCTTGGTCAGACATTTGTAATTAAAGACTTGGGTCCTCTTTCCTATTTTTTGAGAATTGAAGTAGTGCATAAACAAAAGGATCTGGTTCTATCCCAAAAGAAATATATTATGGAATTACTCCAACGGACAAATCTCTCTAACTCCAAACCAGTATCGTCTCCTATCACTACCATTGCTGATTTGAAACTTGGTGACAGTGCCTTATTTGTCGGTCCGGTCCATTATCAAAAAGTTGTTGGTGCCTTACAGTATGTCACTCTATCTCGTCCAGATATTATTTTTGCAGTCAAAAAAGTTTGCCAGTTTATGCATTCCCCAACTGAAAATCATTGGTCTACTGTCAAACGCATACTTAGATATCTTCAGGGCACTTATGATTATGGTCTTCTTCTTCAACATAAATCTGATGTTGTTCTTCATGCTTACACTGACACTTATTTTTCATCGTTGAGTGCCTACTCGGACGCAGACTGGGTTGGTTGTCCTGATGACTGTCGATCCACCGGTGGATATGACATCTATCTTGGAAACAATCTTATTTCTTGGTCTGCTAGAAAACAACGCACTGTATCTAGGTCATCTACAGAATCTGACTATAAAGCTTTAGCCGATACCGTTGCTGAACTCACCTGGCTTGAATCACTTCTTCGAGAGCTTAAGGTTTCTGTGACATATGTACCAGTTTTATGGTGTGACAATTTGGGTGCTACTTACTTATCAGCTAATCCTATCTTTCATGCCCGCAGAAAACATGTTGAAGTTGATTTTCATTTTTTTAGAGAAAAAGTTGCTGATGGAAAACTCAATGTGAAATTTATCTCTACACATGATCAGATTGCAGACATCTTTACCAAGCTGTTACCGTCTCAACGATTTACTGATTTACGGTCCAAGCTTCAGCTCGTTACACGTCCTTAGCTTGCGGGGGAATATTAGACAGTATATACTATAATAATAGGAGGATACAAAGTGTAATTATGTATCTTATATATACATCCAGTGTAATCAATATTGCGTGAATAAGATACAATCTTTACCAAATTTATCTTTAAAAGAATTAGATCTTTTTTCAAATTTGTTAAATGGGACCATTCCGGTTTCAATCGGGCAACTTGCCAAAATCGGTTCTCTTCATGTCTCAAACAATTCCTTAGAAGGAGTAGTTTTTGAAGCCCATTTCGGTAACCTTTTGATGTTGAGGAGCTTGGATGCTTCTTCTAACACTAAATTAACATTCAACTTTTCACATGAGTGGATACCTCCATTCCAATTGGAAGATCTTGATCTCAGTTCTTGCAACATCTCAAATAGATTTCCACAGTGGCTTCGAAACCAAAGGAAACTTGGGGCGTTGGTGTTGTCAAATGCTACAATTTCGGGTCCTTTGCCCTCATGGTTGCGGAAGATGCTTGCCATTCATTTCTTAGATCTCTCTCACAACAAACTCAGTGGATCTTTGGCAAACCTTCCTAACCGGGGAACTGTTTGTGTGATTGGCACTGGAGGGACACTATTACTGGCAAATAACATTTTCAATGAGTCGCTTCCAAGGTCATTGTGCAAAAGGACGGATTTGAATTTTCTTGATCTTTCCAGAAATAGGTTAACAGGGAAATTTCCTAAGTGTCTTCAGAATCTGCAACTGTTGAATACCATGATGTTTAGCTCGAATTTGCTTTCAGGTGCCATTCTGAGCTATATAGGTCTTAATCTTTCATCATTGCGATGATTAAAATTGAATGACAATAAATTTTTTGGTGAACTTCCTCGAGAGTTGGGGAATCTACGAGGTTTAACAGTCTTAGATGTGGGTGATAATGAATTGTTTGGAAGTATACCCCATTGGATTGGAGAGAAACTAACAGATTTGAATGTTTTAAGGTTACACAGGAACAATTTCTCTGGAGAAATTCCTAAATCTTTGTGCAAAATGTTGGAACTTCAAATTTTGGATGTTGCGTACAACAACTTAAGGGGAATCATCCCCCATTGCCTAAGAGAGTTGAATAGGATGGTTAAAGGTCCAAGACATTCGATTTATAATGGCTTTCCTGATTCGAATGAGAATGTGATTCAGATCATGAAAGGTGTTGAGCGTGAATATACCACAATTTTGGATATGTTTTTTTTAACATAGATCTCTCAAGCAATAAACTTGTAGGAGAAATACCTATAGAGATAACCGCACTTTCTATGTTGGTGGGTCTGAATTTGTCAAATAATCATCTCAGTGGGAATATTCCAGAAAAGATTAGAAACATGATGAAGTTAGAATCTCTTGATTTATCTGGAAACGAGTCGACCGGGATGATCCCCTCAAGCATGGCAACTTTGACTTTTTTGAGTCATTTGAATTTGTCACGCAACAGCTTGTTGGGACGAATTCCAACAGGTCGTCAGTTGCAGACCCTTACCAATCCTTCAATACATGCTGGGAACAAAGGTCTATGTGGACCTCCATTTCCAAACAATTGCTCACATCATTAAGACCAAACAACAACTTTCAAGAAGAAACATAAAGCAGCTGAGGAGTCGATCAAGGTACGGTGGTTTTACCTGGACATCATGAGTGGGTTTGCAACAGGGTTTTCGGGTATTATTGGAGTTGCTGAGGAAACTGTGGACAGGATATACGTTTCTGTCATGGTGAGAGTTGCCAAGATGAATAGAGGAAGAGAAGCTACAAGATCCTCCGATATGCAAGTAGTTCTCAAATATATGTTTATCAATGAATACTTTGATCTATGTTCGTAATGTGGATGTTGATTAACGATTTCAATTTTAAAATGTTTGTTATATTTATTATTTAGCATTTATATAATTATGGGCATATCTATTAAGGTTAAAGGTAGGTCCTAAGACTTACCTAAATTTTCAATTTCATTTATGCTATACATATACATATATATATATATATATATATATATATATATATATATATATATATATATATATATATATATATATAGGGAAAAAGGAATATACATTACAGCCCCACCTAAGCTTACGTGCTAAACCTCTTGAAAATAATTTGTTTTACTATATAAAGATTACGGTTAATGGATTCACGATTAATATTTCAAGATGTAAATTCAAGATCGACACAGTAAGGTTTAGGGTTTAGGGTTTAGGGTTTAGGTTTAGAGTTTAGGTTTAGGGTTTAGGGTTTAGGGTTTAGGGTAAAAGGTTTAGGATTTAGCGTTAGGGTTTAGGGTTTAGGGTTTAGATTTTAGGTTTGGGGTTTAGGGTTTAAATTTAGGGTTTAGGGTTTAGGTTTAGGGTTTAGTAATGTTTACTTGGGTGATGTAATAAACCATAATTGAAGAAAGAAAATAGAGATTGTAAAACGATAATGAAAGAAAGAAATGTTATGGAGGATGATATATTTACCAAGTGAAACCAAACCGGGTATATTTAGCATATCTCTGAAGTTGATTTGAAGTTATACTCATCAAGAAACGTCATTTGTGAAGGTTAGCATATCTCTGCCTTTATTTTTGTTTATCTAATTTCTGAATGTGTTCTATTCATTATGTTTTCTTCTTTAATAATGGTAATTTGTTCAAGTATCACATGTGTGTCTGACTACAGCCATGTGTATAGACTTAGTCTTAGTTAAATTAACATACCTAGTCCTGTGCTTGTATTTAGGATTCAATTGTATCTCTAGTTGTATCTGTGTGTGTGTGTGTGTGTATATATATATATATATATATATATATATATATATATATATATATATCCATCTCATGTAACAGTTAAATTCATTCAATATACAAGAACTTTTCAATATTCTTGACTTACATGGTATGAGAGCCTAGTTATTTTTTCTCGCTTTCTTCTCACTCATGGCCAACAACAATCAACTTATTCTTGGTCTCGCTGCCAACTCTTCCTTCCAAATTCCTTTAATTCCCGTCAAATTGGATACTGAGAACTACTACTTGTGGCGCTCTACTATTGTTTCTGCTCTCAAGACCTTCGACCTCGTGTGCTTTATCTTATCCCCAAATCCACCTGCTGAAACCATATCTATCACTCCTATCACCGATCCTCCTACCACCGAACTCAACCCTAACTTTCAATTGTGGAAGAAAATAGACCAATTCGTTCAATTGTGGCTCAAATCCACCTTATCTGAGTGTGCGTTAGCCATTGTTGCTTGTGCTACCACCTCTCACTCTGCTTGGACCACCATTGAGTGAACGTTTCAGGCCCAGACTAAGGCCCATCACATGTGTATGAAGCTCAAACTTCAAAGCCTTTCCAAAGGATCCATGACCATGCTAGAATATGGAGAACAAAAACAAGCCATCGTTGACTCCTTGGTGGAAAACCTTCACCCAATTTCCAATGAATATTTAATTTGGCATATCGTCAGCGGCCTCGACTCCTCTTATGGCCACTTCACTGCCGCATATATGGTCAAAGATGACGGCTCCAACGTTGATGACCTAATTGGTCTTCTTGTTTAAGAAGAAGCGAGACTAGAACAAGAGCACAATCGACAACATGTTTTTCTTTCTTCAGCTTCCATTGCTTCTGTCCCACTTGCTCTGCATGTTCATCGCACTCCACTTTGTCACCATGCCTCTGGTTCAACTTCTACAACCATCAATTCACCAGGTCTTACTCTGTTGATCCCAAACGATGCCGACCGCACTGTCAACTGTGTAATAAGCTAGGTCATGAAGCTGTGGACTACTGGAAACGATCCAACCTAGTGGACTATGCATCTCGAAAGCCCAATCCTCGTGATCCACAGTCTCGTCAAGCCCACTTTGCTCAGCACTCCAATCCGTCTAAAACCATTGATCCAAATTGGTACTTTGATACCGGAGCCACTGACCACGTTATGTCGGATCTCAAAAACATGTCAAGGCACCGACAAAATGCAAGTGGGGAATGGTAAACACCTTTCTATTACGCATATTGGCACATCTACTTTGCACAAACTCCGTCTGCCCTCTGTTCTTGTTGTCCCAAAAATCACCAAATGTCTCCTCGGTGTTTCTAAACTGAGTTCAGACAATGACGTCTATTTAAAATTTTATCGTACTCACTATTTTGTCAAGTCCTTGATGATGGGTTTTTTTACAAACAATCCTATGTGTGCATGTAACCCAAGAGTTGGATCTATGTTTTCACTATTAGTTATACAACTTAATGAGCACAAAAAGAAACCTGGTATGCTAGTACTATTTTCGAAATCCACATAGAAGAATAGAATGCATACCTTTTGTTGTTATATAGTAATAACAACTAGTTCCTTGAATCCCCTTAGCTTTGAAAGCAAGTACCACAAATGTAGTACCTCTAATGGCTCACAAACACATTAGGTGAAAGGATGAATATGGAAGAGAGGAGAGAAGGGTATCTTGCCCTAGAATTCATCCCTTTTAGGGTTTCCCAAAGCTTGGATGAAATCTTAGTGCCTTAGGGTGTTATTTATACTTAAGGCTAACTAGGATTTCAAGCTGTAAACCCTAATCCCTTAGCTTAGGGCCTAAGCAAGTCCATGGACTCCTTTCCTTAACCCTTGGACGAAAAATCCTAGATCCTTCTAGGATTTTAGTTCAAGCCTTAATAAAGGTGATCCAATGGCCCAAAGCCTCAACTATTGAATAATTACAAAATAGCCCCTGCACTTTCAGTCAGTTCCTTTAATCCCAAAATTAATTCTAACTTAATTTTTGATTAAATACTAATTAATAATATGATTCCAAATTAATATATTATTCATATAATATATTAACAAATCATATTTATACCCTAGTTTATTATTCTTAACAATAAACCAGCCTCTCTCCTCAATAATCATCATGTCTAGTCACCAGTGTGAAGGCAACCCAAAAGAACCATGCTCACAATCAAATCAAGTACATACCAAAATAGTTATGGACTTAGACACTAATCCAACACTTGCAGGGCAAAACTCTTCTAACCGGGGACGTTAAAGATGGTCTATATCGTGTTTTAGTCTCCCTGAATAAATCACCCAATAAATCTCCTCCTATCATGGCACTTTCTAGAGTTCGTACTTCACTTCATGGCTGGTTCAAGAGACTTGCTCATCCCCACCCTCCTCTTCTAAAGCGTCTTCTGCATTTGTTTAAGTTTCCAACTTCATCCCAGCACTTCCCATCTGTCTTCAATTGTTGCCAACTGGGAAAGAGCCACCGTTTTCCTTTACATACTTCTCATGTTACTTCATTAAAACCATTTGATTTTCTTTATTATGATGTATGGGGACCCTCTCCTTATTTTTCAATCAATGGAAAATGTTATTTTCTTTTGTTTATTGATGACGGAACCAAATTTATGTGGATTTATTTCTTATCTCACAAATCTAAAGTGCTTCCAATTTTTCAAAAATTTCATCAAATGATCAAAACACAGTTTCAAACTACCATCAAGAGCCTTCAATCCAAATGGCGAGGTGAATATTGTAGTGTTTTCACATATCTCAGCCAACACAATATTAAACATCGTGTTTCTTGTCCTCATACGCAGAAACAGAATGGGGCAGTCGAGAGGCGCAATCGAGTGATTATCGAGAAGGGGATCACTCTCCTTGCACACTCCTCTCTTCCTCATGTCTTCTGGGAGCATGCATTCAAAACAGATACATATCTTCACAATCACACCATAACCCCTGTTCTCCAATTCCAATCACCTTATCAAAAGTTATATGCTAAAGCTCCTGACTATGCATTTCTCAAAACATTTGCCTGCCTCTGTTATCCCTTTCTACAACCTTAAAACAACCACAAAATCAATTTTCGGTCATTGCCTTGTGTCTTTATTGGTTACAGTGCCTCTCATAAGGGTTATTTGTGCTACTATGAACCCTCCTCTCAAATCTACATTACCAGACATGCAGTTTTCAACGAATACGTTTTCCCGTTTTCATCCCACTCGTCTATCTCTCCTAATATACTCTCATCACCTTCACCAAGTCCTGATGCTACCGCAACACTTCTCACATTAGCCACAAATTTACCATCTCCTTCACTACCAAAAACTTCGAGCCCAAGTGTTAGTCTTCCCTCCGATCCCACTCCTTCACCTCCTTCTACTCCTCCCACATATCAACATTCAACAGCACATGTTGGAAAAATGTCCTTCAACCTCTCATTATCATCCATCAAACACTACAAACCATCCTATGGTCACTAGAGCTCGTTGAAATTCACTCCATCCTAAGTCCTTTTCCACAACCACTTCTTCTATGTCCCCCCCCCCCTTGAACCTTCCACTTTTAATCAGGAAATTAAGTCCACATGTTCGAAAAATGTCATGCAACATGAGTATGATGCCCTTATGCGAAATAAAACATGGTCACTTGTTTTCTGTCCCACTATTGTTAATGTTGTAGGTTGCAAGTGGATTTACAGGGTCAAACGGAAGTCTGATGGCACGGCTGAAAGACATAAAGCCCATCTCGTTGCTCAAGGCTACAGTCAAGAAGAAGGTGTTGACTACTTCGAGACCTTCAGTCTCGTTATCAAACCTACCACGGTCCTTTTCGTCCTATCTTTGGTTGTTTCCAACAAGTGTTGCCTCTGTCAACTTGACATCAATAATTCCTTTCTCAATGGCGACTTGCATGAGGCTGTCTACGTGAAACAACCCGAGGGTTTGAAGATCCCACCAAACCCAATCATGTGTGTCGACTCCATAAGGCACTCTATGGCCTTAAACAAGCTCCAAGTGCTTGGTTCACGAAGTTAAAAACATATCTGATAACTCAA